CCTCCTCCTCCTCCTCCTCCTCCTCCTCCTCCTCCTCCTCCTCCTCCTCCTCCTCCTCCCTCCTCATCATCATCCCTCCTTCCCTCTCCCCCTCATCCTCTCCTCCTCCTCCTCACCTCCTCCTTCCTCCTCCTCCTCCTGCCCCTCCCTCTTCCTACCTCCTCCCTCTTCCCCCCTCCTCCTCCTCCTCCTCCTCCTCCTCCTCCGCCTCCTCCTCCTCCTCCTCCTCTCCTCCCGTTTCTACTCCTCCTCCGCCCCCTACTCCTCCTCCTCCTCCTCCTCCTCCTCTCCTCCTCCTCCTCCCACCTACCCCCTCCTCCTCCTTCTCCCCTCCTCCTCCATCCCTCCTCCTCCTCCTCCGCCTCCTCCTCCTCCTCCTCCTCCTCTCCTCTCCTCCTCCTTCCTCCTCCTCCTCCTCCCCCTCCTCCCGCCTCCTCCTCCTCCTCCTCCTCCTCCTCCTCCTCCTCCTCCTCCTCCCCCTCCTCCTCCTCTTCCACCTCCTCCTCCGCCTCCTCCCTCCCTCTTCCTCCTCCCTCCGCCCTCCTCCTCCTCCTCCTTTTCCTTTTCCTCCTCCTCCTCCTCCTCCTCCCCCTCCTCCTCCTCCTCCTCCTCCTGCGGCGGCCGCGTATCTGCCGCGCGCTGGAGGCGCATTGATCGGGAGCGGGCGCGACCCCCCCAACCCCAGGACAAGCACGCCGCTCAGCGGCAAGCAAGCCCCGGAGCGAGGCGGCGCGCCGACCGGGGCCTCTACCTCGCACACACTGGAGCACGGCGGCGACGCCTAGAAAGGTGTAGCCGAGCGCGAGCGCCGGTCGCCCGCCCCCCGCGCCGCCCGCAGCTCTGCGCGCGCCGGCCGCCGTCGGGCCCCGGTGACCCGGCGCCCCAGCCCCAGGCCCCGCGGCCGCGGCCCGCCCGGTTCCCCGCTGGAGCAGCAGCGGCAGCGCAGCAGCGCCGCGCCCGCCAGCGCCCCTCCGAGCCGCACCGGCGGCGCCGCGCTGCGCCGTGCCGGGCCGCCCAGCGCCGGCGCGCGGGCGCTCCGCCGCCGCGCCGCAGTTGCCCGCCGCCCCATCAGTTGCCCGCCGCCTCGGCGCGCGCCCAGCGCCCGCGGCGCGGCGCCCGAGACCCAGCTGCAGCGCTGCAGCGGCGCGCCCGCCAGCCGCTCAGCGCGCGCCCCCAGCGCTAGCCGCTCAGCGCAGCTGGGGCCGCTCCCCCGCGCTCAGCTCGCGCGCGCGCGCGGCGGGGCGCCGGCTCCGCGCCGCCTGCCCCGCGGCGCGTCGCCCCGCGCGCGGCCAGGCAGGCAGAGCGGAAGGCCCCCGCGCTCCCGCGCTGCAGCCTCGCCGCGAGGCCCTGGCGAGCCGCCGCCAGCACGGCGGAGTCGCCGCGCGCCCAAGTGCGGAGGAGCGCCTGCGCCTCCGCCCCAGCGCGCCCCAGTGCCTCCAGCGCGAAGGCCGTGAGAGCCGGGCCCGGGCAGCGCCTGCGCTTGCGCTCCTCCCCGGCCGCCGCGGCCGCACCGTCCCGGACGGCTCGGCCCCGACCCGCCAGCGCGTCTGCGCCCAGGGCGGCGTCTGTGACCACTGCGTCGACGCAGGACGCGCGGGCCGCGGGGTCGGCGAAGACCGCGACGACGAGGCGGGCTGCCTCGACAGAGCCGCCCGCCCGAGCCCGGCCCCAGGCGGGCACGAACTGCTCCGTGCCCACGCCCGCCGCGCCCCGGGCCTGCAGCCAGCGGGCGAGCCAGTCCCTGACGCCGTCGCGGCGGTAGCTCCTGCCGCCGCCGACGCGGCAGCCCAGGCAGTGCAGCCCAGGCAGTGCCCCGGCTTCGCGGCCAGGTCGGCCCCGCAGAGCGCGCCGCCCTCCCGGCGCCGGAGGCTGGCGGCGCTGGCGCCCGCGGGCGCAGGCAGGTGTAGTCGCAGCGCCAGGGCTGGGAGGAAGCGCGCGTCCGCCATGGCGTGGCCCTCCTCCGTCGGCGGCAGGAGAAGCAGGAGCCAGCTTCCCGCGCCCTTCCCGCTGGCCGAGCGGAGCTGCGCGGCGCGGTTCGGCGGCAGGGCGCTGCCGGCGCGCGCGTTGCTCCGGCGCCACGAGGGCCCGCTGCGCCTTGGCCCTCGGCTCCGCGGCGGCGCAAAGCCAGTCCGCGCCGCGCGCAAGGAGGGCGCTCTCCGCGCCCTCGGCCTCCCTCCACGCCGTCGGGCAAGCCCGCTGGAAGGCCTCGAGGATGGGCAGGCCGAGCTCCCTGCAGACGCCGGCCAGACACGACTGCCAAGTCCCCGCAAAGGCTGGGAGCCCCCTGCGCGCGAGGCCCTGGAGGCCGAGCCCGCCGGCGGCGAGGGGCAGGAGGGCCAGGTCGCGCGCGAGGGCGGGGAGCTCCCGGTGCCCAGTGAGCGGCTTCAGGACCTCGCGCACGCGGCCGAGAACCACTGCGTCGTAACCCTGGCGCCACGCCTCGTCGAGCAGGTGCGCCCTTGCGTGGTGCAGGCAGGGCCGCGCTGTTGGCGAAGGTGCGAAACAGCGCGAGCTCGGCTTGGGCGCGCAGCCCGCGCTCTCGGAGCTGGCGGAGGGCCGCGAGGTAGGCGTCGAGGTGGTCCCCGGCCGCCTGCGGGGCGGCAGCCGGCGAGAAGCTCGCCCGTGCAAGGTCGGCGCCTGGGGCTGCTCCCGCGGCGTGGCGCACGTAGGGGAGTGCTTCCCACGCATGTGAGCTCGGGCGCCTCCGCCCTGGCCAGCGGCCCAAGGAGCTACAGGGCGCGCGGGTTCCACCCTTTCGTCTTCCGCGGTTTCACGTGGAGGCCCTGCGCCGAGAAGAGCCCTGGAGCGGCGAGGGGCGCCGCTGCCAGTGCGCGCGGGCCGCCCACGACGTACACGTCGTCGAAGTAGGCCACCACCTTGGCCTCGGGGTCCACGCGGCGCGCCGCCGTCTCCAGACACTCGTAAAGCGCCCCCGTCGCCACTGCGAAGAACGCAGGGGACAGGGGGCAACCCTGGTCCACGCCGCGCTGCGCTGTGACCGGCGCCGCCCTGGCCCCGGGAAGGCGGGCACCGTGCCTGGTGGCGCCGCCGTACCACGCCGCCGCGAGCCGCGCCAGCTCCGGCAGGCGCCCGGAAACCTCCCGCAGCAGGGTGTCCCGGCAGAGCTCGTTGAACGCGTTGGCAACGTCCAGGGAGAGCACGGCGGCGCCAGGGTCCCTCTCCAGCGCGGTCGCCACGACGCGGTGCATCAGCTCGATCCCGTTCTGGCGGCCAGCGCCAAACTGGTGGCGCCCCCCTGCCGTGGCGATGGCTTCTTTGTGAGCCGCCGTGGCCGCCTTGGCCGCCATCCTGCGCAGCGTCTCGCCGCAGGCAAGCGGCCGCACACCGCCCCCCAGCTTCACAAGCACCAGGCTCCTCCTCCTCCTCCTCCTCCTCATCCTCCTCCTCCTCCTCCTCCTCCTCCTCCTCCTCCTCCTCCTCCTCCTCCCCCTCCTCCTCCTCCTCCTCCTCCTCCTCTCCTCCTCCTCCTCCCTCCTCCTCCTCCTCCTCCTCCTCTCCTCCTCTCCTCCTCCTCCTCCTCCTCCTCCTCCTCCTCCTCCTCCGCCTCCTCCTCCTCCTCCTCCTCCTCCTCCCCTCCTCCTACCTCCTCCTCCTCACTCCTTCCTCCTCCTCCTCCTCCTCCTCCTCCTCCTCTCCTCCTCCTCCTCCTCTCCTCCTCCTCCTCCTCCTCATCCTCCTCCTCCTCCTCCTCCTCCTCTCCTCCTCCTCTCCTCCTCCTCCTCCTCCTCCTCCTCCGCCTCCTCCTCCTCCTCCTCCTCCTCCTCCTACTCCTCCTCCTCCCCTCCTCCTCCTCCTCCTCCTCCTCCTCCTCCTCCCTCCTCCTCCTCCTCTCCTCCCTCCCTCCCCTCCTCCATCCTCCTCCTCCTCCTCCTCCTCCTCCTCCTCCTATCCTCCTCCTATCCTCCTCCTCCTCCTCCTCCTCCTCCTCCTCCTCCTCTCCTCCTCCTCCTCCTCCTCCTTCTCTCTCCTCCTCCTCCTCCTCCTCCTCCTCCTCCTCCTCCTCCTCTCCTCTCCTCCCACCCTCCTCCTCCCACCCTCCTCCTCCCACCCTCCTCCTCCCACACTCCCTCCTCCCACCCTCCTCCTCCTCCTCCTCCTCCTCCTCTTCTTCTTCTTCTTCTTATTATTCTTATTCTTCTTCTTATTCTTCTTCTTCTTATTATTCTTATTCTTCTTCTTCTTCTTATTATTATTATTCTTCTTATTCTTCGTCTTCTTCTTCTTCTTATTATTATTATTCTTCTTAGTATTCTTCTTCTTCGTCTTATTCTTCTTCTTATTATTATTCTTCTTATTATTATTATTATTATTCTTCGTATTCTTATTCTTCTTATTATTCTTCTTATTCTTATTATTATTCTTCTTATTCTTATTATTAGTCTTCATCTTATTCTTCTTATTCTTCTTATTCTTCTTCTTCTTATTCTTATTCTTCTTCTTATTCTTCTTATTCGTCTTCTTCTTCTTCTTCTTCTTCCTCCTCCTCCTCCTCCTCCTCCTCCTCCTCCTCCTCCTCCCCTCCTCCTCCTCCTCCTCCTCCTCCTCCTCCTCCTCTTCCTCTCTCCTCCTATCTCCTCCCTATCTCCTCCTCCTCCTCCTCCTCCTCCTCCTCCTCCTCCTCCTCCTCCTCCTCCTCCTCCTCCTCCTCCTCCTCCTCCTCCTCCTCCTCCTCCTCCTCCTCCGCCTCCTCCTCCTCCTCCTCCTCCTCCTACCTCCTCCTCCTCCTCCTCCTCCTCCTCCTCCTACCTCCTCCTCCTCCTCCTCCTCCCTCCTCCTCCTCCTCCTCCTCCTCCTCCTCCTCCTCCTCCCCTCCTCCTCCTCCTCCCCCACCCTCTGCCTCCTCCTCCTCCCCTCCTCCTCCTCCTCCTCCTCCTCCTCCTCCTCCTCCTCCTCCTCCTCCTCCTCCTCTCCTCCTCCTCCTCCTCCTCCTCTCCTCCTCCATGTGTTTGCGATCGCCCCCTCCCCCCCCATCCAGCCCCGACCTTGCGGACGACCAGCGCGGCGGCCTGCTCCTGCCTGCGCGGGCCGCCCCCTCCGCTCCCCCTGAGAGCGGTGGCAGGATCGGGGGGGGCCGCGGGTCGAGGGGCCGAGGGTCGGGGAGGAGAGGGGCCCCCCTCCCCCGCGCGCGTGCCCCCTCCGAAGAAGGATCGAGGATCGAGGGGAGGGGCACGCGAGGAGGGTAGAGCTAGGTCGAGGATCGAGGGGTCGAGGGGTCGAGTAGGAGAGGGATCAAGGGAAGGGCACTCGGAAAGAGGGTCGGGGAGAACAGGGGGAGGAGGAGGAGGAGGAGGAGGAGGAGGAGGAGGAGGAGGAGGAGGAGCATGGAGGAGAAGGAAGATCGAAGATCGAGGAGGAAACGGATGGAATACCGAGGGGGGGGTACGCAAGAGGATCCGGGAGGAGGAGTGGGGGGAGGATCGAGGATCGAGAGAAGCAAAATTACGCAGGAGGATCGGGGACGATCGAGGAGGGTGCGGATGAGGAGGATCGGGGAGGAGAGGGAGATGGAGGAGGAGGATGAGGAGGAAGAGGAAGAGGAAGAGGAGGAGGAGAATACATAATCATAATAATAATAACAATAATAAATAATAATACGAATAATAATAATAATAACAATAATAATAATAACAATAATAATAATAATAATAATCACAACAACAGTATAAATAACACTAATGAGAATAGTAATTCTTATACTAGTACGAATAATAATAACAATAATGATATTTATAATAACAATAATAATAATGATAATAACAACAATAATAATAGAAATAATACTAAAAATACGAATAACAATAATAGTAATAATGACAACAACAGCAACAACAGCAGAAATAATAATAATAATAGTAGTAATAATCATACGATGTTTTTTATATATAATAAAACCACTAATACGAATAATAGTAGTCGTGGTAACCAGAATAATAACAATGGTGATAATAAGAATACGAATCGTAAGAATAAAGATGAAACGAGTAGTAATAATAATAATACGACTAGTAATAATGATACAAATTATGATACGGATAATGATATTTATACGAATAGAAATAATAGTAACAATAGTACGAATAATAATAATTGTAAGAATGATCATAACGATCATAATAATAATAATACGGATGATCATGATAACGAAAATAATAATGATGATACTACAAATAAAGGAACTAATTATAATAATAATCTTACTGATAATAGTATCAATAAGAAGAAAAATAACACATAATGATAATAGTAGTGATACGAATAATACTACACATTATTTACATCTACGAATAATAATCATAATAACTCTAATAATAATAAGAAGAAGAAGGAGCAGAAGAAGAAGAAGAAAAAGATCGAGGATCGAGGATCGCGAAGCCGTAAGATGAGGACCGGGGAGGAGGAAAACCGAGAATCGAGGATCGACAAGGAGCAGGGTCGAGGTTCGAGGGGGTGTACGTAGGAGGAGGAACAGGGAAAAGGAGCAGGAGAAGGCGGAGGATCGAGGAGCAGCATCGAGGAATCGAGTCCTAAGGCTTCCGGTAGCCTCGAACCCTCGAGACCAACACTCGCGGAGTGGGCGGGCGGCCCGCGTCGACGGGCGGCCTCCGAGGAGGAGGCGGAGGGGATGGAGCGGCATCGGCGGTGGTCGCCCCCCCCTCCCTATCCTTCGCCCGATCCCCAGAAGCCCTGGCTCCAGGGCTGTGGACTCCTCACTCCTCCCTCCGCCGCCCTCCGCCGACATTCCTGCCGGCAGAGCCGTCGCCCAGTTCCGTTCCAGACGCCACTCCGCTTCTGTTCAGTCCCTGCCCAGCGTGCCGCCGCTGTTGCGCCGGCTCTCTGACACGTGAAGTGTTCACCGCGTGAGCCCCCCGAGGTCCAGACCCCTTCTCCGGGGCCGGCGCATCGAGGAGGATCGAGGAGGATAAAGACCGCGGAGCGGCGGCCAAAGGACGGCCATCCTGAGGGCGCCCCCGCCCCGCGTGGGCCCCCGCCGGCCCCCAAGACCCCCGTCGCCGTGAGGTCTGCTCTCGGTACAGGTGTGCTCCCTGAAGAAGCAAAAGACGAAGCCAAAATCGAAGTCTAGGAATTCCTCGAGCCAGCCGAGGGACGTACAAGGACATACTAGTACTGTATGTCCTCTTTGGAGGCGTGCGTCCGACCCGGACATATAGTACAACGATATTGTAGCATATCGTTTCCCGAACGGTATGGCCAGAAAGCGCCGGCCGTGGAGCTTATACTATAAGATTTCTCGGTGCGCGCGTCGCCCCATGGGGGGGGGCGACGCACACATAGTACTAGCATGTTGGCGCGACACCGACCGAGCCGCTATCGAGCCGACGCCGACGTCGATGAGTCCCTCAAGCCGACCGAAGTCAGGCCAGGCGGGGCATTTTTCCCTCGAGCTCGGGCTGGACAAAAAATGCCCTGGGAAAGAGGCACTCCTAGGGGATCTGCTAACCTGGGTCAATCAGACACGGGTCAGCAGGAAACCGAAGTGCAATGCAGGATAAAAAAACTGCAACGCAGGGCTTCGCAAACCCGGGTCAGCCAATATGCGCGGCCGCCTCGCGGCCACGAGCGGCTCACTAACCCGGGTCAGCCAGAGGGGTCTTCGCAGGATCCTGCAGGATCCAGCGCCCTGGCCGACCAACGGTTGCATCGACCTCCGTCTCTTCAGTCCCGACCACCTCCTCCTCCGCTGGTCCCGAAAGGGGGGGATAGCAAGGGGTAGGGTAGAGAATCAGCTCACGTAGCTGATTTTCCCAGCGCCTCCCAGCGCTGGGAGAGGCCCATGTATCGAGGAATGGGCCCCGCGGCGGGGCCGAAACCAGCTGCACGCAGCAGATTTCGTACCCCCCCCCTTTCCCTATCCCCCCCCTTTCGTTCGGCCCGACTCTGGGGGAGGGTTGCTGGGAGGTGGGGGCCACCCGGAAGCCTCCAGCGGACCCCATCGTGTAGAGACCTCCCACATGGGGCCCGAATAGATGGGGTCGGAGGATCGCGCCGCATCGCCGATGCATTGGGGATGCATCGGCGACCACGGCGTGGGGAAACCGTGTTCCAAATCGAACCGCATTGCATCGGCGATGCGATGGGTCGGCGATGCGGCGCAATCCTCCGACCCCATCTAATCTGGCACAAGTTGGGGGGCCTGGAGAACAGGGGGAGGAGGAGGAGGAGGAGGAGGAGGAGGAGGAGGAGGAGGAGGAGGAGGAGGAGGAGGAGGGAGGTCCACCGCTCACATAAATAATGCATTCAGTCCTCGACTGGTGCGTGCCATCCATGCGCAGGGGCCATGCTAATCTCCCCTATGTTCTATATTAACGGATGACCCCAGAGGGAATCCGAAGAGGACGCGGAGGAGGAGGTGGGACGAGGGCTGCCTCAGGGTCTCCTCCTGCTGCCTCTTCTCCTTGAGGGCCGCCATGCGCTGCTGGATCACCTCGGCCGTGGGGCTCGGAGAGGATCGCGCGTGCCCGGCCGCTCCCTCTCGGCCCCGGAGGTCGGGGGAGCCAGGGAGCGCGCGCGCACGCCGCCCTTCCCAGACCTCCGGCGGCTCGAACGAAATCGCGCCGGAGGTTCTCGCCGAGCTCGGCGTCAGGACACTGCTCCCAGGTCCGAGGGCCCGCAAACAGAAACATCCTGAGTGAGGGAGGGAGCAATCGACCCATACAGGAAAGACGCAGGATGAGGATGCAAGGGCCTTGGAAGGCCATGTCAACACTTTGCGAGTGGGGCTGGCCAGCGAAAGCGGCCAAGGATGGGCCGAAGGGGAAGGATTGGAAAGTCGCTCATCCTCACTACGCTAACAAGCAGAAGTCTGGAGACCAGCGCCTCGGAAAAATCGGATCGTAGGAGGTATGTCCTCAACTTCCCCCTCCCCAGAACCCCGTCGGACCTCAGAGAAACCCACGAAGCCTCCTGTAACAGAGGATGTGTCGACCCCTATCCCAGGCTTCGTGGGATTTTCGACTGGACCAGAAGTTTGGGGCCCAACCCTGGGATATACGATGGGGGGGCGTCCATCCTCGATAGATAGGAATGCGTCCGAATAGACCCCGTGGGGTGTATCCCAGGGCTTCCCACCTTTTTCCTGAGGTGCCAATCTTTTGGGGCAGAACTCGGGGACTGGGGGAGGAAAATCACATACGACCCACCGCGCCGAGGCGATGCACCGTCCCGGTCCCGCTCTCTCTCTCTCTCTCTCTCTCTCTCTCTCTATATATATATAGATTATCTCTCTCTCTCTCTCTCCCTCTCTCTGAATCTCTCTCTCTCTCTCTGCTCCCCGCCCGCCCCGCCGGCCCTGGCCTCCCGCCTGGGCGTTCGTCGTCGTCTGCCTGCTTCTCCCCTCCTCGTCCCCTTCCGCCGGACCGCGCTGCCTGCCTGGAACCAGCGTGGCTGCATGTAGGGTTTCTTATCCGACTCTGCTCTGAACTAAGTGGCAGTGTTTGAGTCCAGCGTTTGTCAGCGTTGAACTTACGACAGATTCACACATCGACACACTTGCGCATGGTATCTGAAAAAAAACTCGAGTATTGGAGGAGAACAATCGCCTGCACTCCTGGAAGCCCCCTGGAACTCTCCAGGACCTCCAAGGCCTCCCCAAAGCCCCCGTGAAGCACTCCTGTGACTGGATCTCGGCTTGACGCGCCCAATTAGGGCGCGTTGTGGCCGATACTCTGGCCAACTAGGGTTCTGGCGGCGGGGCGCGTGCCTGGCGCGCGTGCCCGTTCTTCGGGAGGCGACTCTCGCTCCTGCGAAAGTGTAACGGGGGTCCAGTGGGAGCCGCCCCTGCCTCATCGCCCGGAGGCGGGGCTCAAGTGTGCCAGCGCAAGTGCGCGCCACCTTCGCGCATTCCACCATCGGGTCCTGCCTGCTCTGGGGGACGGGACCACGGTCGCGCCCGCGGGAACGACGGGAGCTGGGCGCCCCGAGATGGGCGGCGCGGCCGCGCAGGCGGAGAAGAGGGAGGGAAGAGGAGGTCAGCAGACGTCCGGCCCAACGGGCCGCAGCGGGACGGGGCGGGCCGCCGCGGGCGAGGCCGTTGGGCGCGCGCCAGGGAGAGGCGGGGGGGCCGGGGCAACAAGCTGCTGCGAGCCAGAGCGCCCTCAGGATCCTCATCCTCACCCTGGCGTTCAAAGCTACGGGGAGGTTGACTAAGCTATGAGGTTGAGAGGATGCTGGGTGTATCTCCCCCTGGTGGTGGAGGTCCCCCGCTAACAGCGGGTGTGTCGACTCCCCTATCCCAAGCCTCGTGGGGCTTTCGAATGGACCAGAAGTTTGGGGCCCAACCCTGGGATATACGATGGGGGGGCGTCCATCCTCGATAGATAGGAATGCGTCCGAATAGACCCCGTGGGGTGTATCCCAGGGCTTCCCACCTTTTTCCTGAGGTGCCAATCTTTTCGGGCGGAACTCGGGGATTGGGGGAGGAAAATCACATACGACCCACCGCGCCGAGGCGATGCACCATCCCGGTCCCGCTCTCTCTCTCTCTCTCTCTCTCTCTCTCTCTCTCTCTCTATATATATATATATTCTCTCTCTCTCTCTCTCTTGATCTCTCTCTCTCTCTCGCTCTCTTCGAAGCAGGACACCGCGCCGTTGAGAATGTGAGGAATGGAGCTATGCACACTCGACAGCTCTGCAACAGTATCCGGCCCCGCCGCACCCTCCAAGCGGCGACGGCGGGCCCGCCTCGTTCTTCTCCGCCCTGACCGGGGTGGCGCTCGAGTTGCCCTGCGCGGCGCTCGTGCTCGCGGCCCCGTGCCCGCGGGCGGGCGGGCGGGATCCGCCCAGGGCCCGTCTTCCTCTCGTCGTCTTCCTCGCCAGCTTGACGTCCTCCTCCTCCGCCTCCTCCTCCTCCCTCCTCCTCTTCCTTTCACATTGTGTCGTCCCTCCCCCCGCACATTTTCCTGAACGATGCAGCATCATCGTCATCACCCTCCTCGTCATACCACCACCGTCATCGTCACTGTCACAACCACCAAACAGATGAGCTTCGTCATATCGTTGTAACCTTCATGTATGCCATCAACATTTCCATCATCAGCAGCAGCATCACCACAGTCGACATCAGAGTTGCCGAACACATCCATCAAACATGAACATGACTTGCTGCCGTCGTCCACGCACACATACACCGGGTGCTGCTCCGCGACCGCGACGACCAGCCCTTTGGGGATGACCTGCCCCTCCCAGAATACAATCGGAGGCGAAGGAGGGAGAGGGGGGCGGGGGGGAGCGGGGCGATCACCAACAAAGGTCCAAAATCGCACAGTACGAACAGCCAACGCGACACCATGAACCCACCAACCAACAAAGAGCCCACCGCCCAGCTTCACCCTCTTCTATCTGTATCATTCTTCCTCCGTGGCGAGACGAGTCTCTGTCCCCATGCACTTTGCTTCGGCGACACCATGAGGAATACGCAGGGCAGTTCCACCACTAGCAGCAGCGCCCAAGCCCATCTAGGCCCCCAGCCCGCCATCTCCTCAGCCAAACAGCCCCGGCTGCAAGGGCAATGGGTAGGGCGGCGGTAAGCGCCACCCAAGGCGGCACCGATGGCCCAAGGCGGCACCGATGGCCCAGGACGGAGCTGCGGAACTGCCACGCCGCGCCCACGGACGACCATCGAGGACCGCCGCTGGCCCAGCAGCCACCGGATGGTCCAACACCGATGAGGCACTACCATACCAGGGGGAAGTAACAGAGACATTGCACTACCTACGAAGAGGCCGTCGCCTTGTAGTATGTCTGCCCTTCTTTTGGGGGGCCCGCTTACATCTTACGAGCACGAGCCCGCACGGAATGTCGCGTCTCCGGCACCGGGAGTCCTCAAGAGCAGCCGAGGAATTGAGAGAGACGTTCCGTAAAGCGCCACCCGCGGGCATCCCAACACCACACTCGGTCACCGACGCGCGCAGACCGGACGCGTCGCCGGCCGCCCCTTCGAGGTTCGCAGCTGACGCAGAGTCCCCAATTGCAGCCGAAGCCCCAGCAGAAGAAATGAAAGAGGCCTCAACCGCCTCCGCGGCGCGATGATCCCAAACAGACTGCACACACCCTCCCCCTCCCCTCACCAACACGCGCACAAGACGATCGACCCGAGCGCAGCCAAAAGGAACAAGGCACAGCCCCAACAGCAATCGACCAATGCCCTCGACGGGCTTGAAGGGCCATGGTCCCCCTCCCGATAAGGGTACACACGGCGTGTCGTCAGCGGACAGGCGACTCGCCATGCCGTCGACCCACGCGCGCCGGGCGAGAGCGGGCAAAGCAGTCGGCCCCTCACGGGGCAGGGCCAAGCAGCAGCAGGGCCGGCGGGAGCCGAGGCGGTTGTCAAGGAACTCGCACGATCGCAAGCCAGAGCCTGCCAGAAGTAGGACGACCTCGGGCCAGCAAGACAAGGGAAGGGAGGGCCAAGCAGAGCGAAGGAGAAGCGAGGAGCGAGGAGCGAGGGGCGACGGCCGACAGCCGAGGGAGCAGACGGGCGGATGCGAGGGACACCGGCCGACCGACGGAGGAGCCCTTCCAGCGACCATCGGGAAGGCACATGAAGGCCAGGAGGTGCTAAAAAATCCCTGGACTGACGGCATCAGATTCACCTTCGCTATCCTCATGCTCATCCTTTATCCTCACCGCAACTGTCGGCATCGTAAGCGTCACCGGCGACAGCGATGGCGGCCGCGACAGCGGCCGATGGCCGCTGCGACGGCGGCCGATGACGGCCGCCATGGCGATGGCCGCCGGGTGGCTGTGGCTGGCTGATGGCGACAACGGCGGCCGGTGGCGTCGGCGGCGGCTCCCTGGGCCGCACAGCCCTCGAAACACGCAAACCTTGGTCGGGCCCCAGGGCGGCGGCCGTTGTCCCTCCGAACAGTGTACATCCCTGCTCATTGAGCCGCGAGCCTCGATCCTCGACGCTCGGCCGCCGACGGCGGCGGCGGCGCCGAGCACCACCCGCGGGCTGGGGGGGTCGCAGGGCCCCAGAGATTACAAAAAATGGAATAGGCGTGGCTCAACAAGCCAACACCAAACAAATAAGAGCAACAAAACAGACACGCAAACAAACAAACAAACCAAAAACGATGCGTCGCAGGCCCGGCTCTCGCAGCATGGCCAATCTCTAGGTCGTTTTTTAAGCTCCCCATCGTCCAGACTCACGACCAGGGGGGCTGGACCCGGCGCAGCCGCGCGGGATCCCTGGAGGGGAACGGCGGCAGGCTCTGGAACATGGCCGAAATCTCCTGGTCGCCCATGATCTCGCGCAGCTTCGGGTGGCTGCCCTCGGAGGTGACTACCGTCTTCTGTCTCGTGGCCTCGTCCAGGGCCTTGCTGAGGACCCGCCAGATGCCCTCGAACAGCCGCGGAGCGTTCAGGAAGACAGCAGTGTCCAGGTTCTCTGGGTAGTAGCGCTGGCCGATCCTCAGGAAGTCCACGACCGCCCCGACCCCAGCGAGATGGCGTATGCCGACCCCTTGGAAATCGTACACCTCGACAATCTGCGGCGTCTCCATGCCCGCGCCCGCGCCCCCGCAGCGCCTTCTCCTGCCCGCCTCGACCTGGTGCCGAAGCCCGTCCTCCAAGAGCCGGACGTAGCCGTGCAGCTGCTCCGAGCTGCCGAAGTGCACGTGCAGCGGAAGGAAGTAGGCGGCCTGAGGGAAGCCGAAGAGGGGGGGGACGACTGAACTGAGGCGGGGAGCGGTGGCCCAGAATCGACGACACATCGCCGATAGATCGGCGGTCCCGATGAATAAGCCCCACGCTTCTGTACTAGCTGGGCCACCCAGGCCCCGACCAGCGATCTGTGGGCGGTTGTCGTTGCCCCTGGCGGCCCTGGTGTAGCACACGGCGGTCGGGCCAGCAAAGCCGCCCTCAGCCACGCGGAGGGAGCTCGGCCAGAAGGGCCCCACCTATTTTTTCAGAATTAGGAGCCAACGGCCCTAAACGTTCGGAAGTCCATGCGGAGAGTTCTTGGATCGGCGCTGGACGAGCCCATCCTTGGCCCAGGATCGGTGTGGTGGTCAGTTGACGCAGTTGACGTCGCCCGACTGACTCTCCTGGCGCGCGGAGCGAGCCAGGGGCGGCGCCAGAGGCGCCGCCAGGCATGTCCAGCGCCGATCCCGGAAATCTGCGTGGACCTCCGAAAGCTTACGCGTGTACCGCTCCTTCTCCCTCGAGCCTTGCCGCAGTCCCTCAGGGCGTCCGGCGCCTCCCAGATCCTGTCCGCCAGGGCCGCGCGCCACCGCACTGTGTCCCTGAACATGTGCTCCGCCGCCGCCGGGTCCCCCTTGCGGGCGACCAAGAAGCGCCGCAGGCAGCACCGCGGCCCCAGTCGCTCCAGCAGCTGGCGAGCCGCCAGCGCCTCTGGCCCTTGGCCGCCCTGCAGGTCCTCGAGCCGCCGCTGCAGCTCCGCGACCCCCGCCTCCTCGATGCCCGCGCGCGCGCCCGACGGTGCCGATACGGCGGCGCCCGAGGCGCCTGCTGCCGAGCTGCAGCCTGCGACGGCAAAGGCGCCGCGTTGCCGCTCGGCATGGGCCACGGCGGCGCCCAAGGTCAGCACGCAGGAGCCCAGGAGGCAGAGGAGAGCCGCCGCACCGCCGGGTGCCTCCAGCGACAGCCACAAGGCCCACGCCAGCAGCTGCCATGGCAGCAACCACCACAACGGACTGGCAGCACTCGTCTCGGAGAGCCCACCCTGAACGCTGGCAGGGCCCCCGCTGGCCGCGGAGCCGCTGGGCCCTGGAGCCTCAGCGCCAGGGCTCACGGCCGAAGTCTGCGCCCGCTCGGACGCTGGCGCGGCCGCTGCCGAGCTCCCCGCAGGACTCCGCTGGCCAGGTGCTGCCAGAGTAAAGGGGCCCAGGGACACGAGTAAATAGACACAAATACACAAATCCCGGTGTTGTTCATGTATTTTGGATTTCCGTCTTCCCCTCCTCTTCTCATATTCTCCCACATTCTCTGGGGAATCGAC